ATAACTGATACACCAATTATATTATTCGAGATCACATGTTATCCAAAGATTAATTAATTGGTCGCATTTTCCAAGTTCGAGAAATTATGAAATTAAAGAGATTTATGTTACTACGGTAACATTACGTACACCACGACGAACTAAAATCTATATATGGATTTGTCAATATTAAATCAAACCATCTAAGAGTCAATAACTGGATATACCGCTGTTTTTTGTTGCATCCATGTTTCCCAATCTTCTAAAATTCTTGCTTCCTTTCACAAAAGAGAGCACAGAGTTAGATATAAGAAATTGGCACTTCATTCAATTACGTACATTGGCTGATTTTTTCATTTCTTCAAACTTATTACGTAACTCCTCATCAACGGCTTCCTTAAAAGCAAGGTCGAGCGCCTTCTTATACTTTTCAGATGCTTTAATTCGGTGAGATGGAAATATAAATCGAAAAAATGCAAGTGGAGTTGGATCAGGACAAGCTAACATCCAGTCGACGTGGCATTCTTGCTGGGTTATTTTTTTTATATTGCGCGAGGATTTTGATTTTCCCATTATCAGCTCAAAAATAGAAAAAAATTTTTAGTATATTGTTGATCAAAGCAAATGAGATAAAAATCAAAGCAGTTGTTCTTCAGATAAGGCCGGCCACTAACTATTACGATGACTTGCCATTGCTGGCTTCCAAAAGTCTCCCTCTGTCGCAGACGCCTTATTTGCTAAACGACCCTCCGATAACTCTAAGCGAAAAAGTCAGCCGGCCATCAACTATTATGACGACTTGCCATTGCTGGCTTCCGACAGTCTCTCTCTGTCGCAGACGCTTCCTTCTTGCTAACAAAAGCTATGGCTTATAAAGAGAAGAAAATAGCTACCCAACTCACCTGGCTAAATAATATTCAAAACGTAATTTAGCAAAACGAAGAATTTTTTATACGCTGTAGGTTAGTGATGCAAGCCGACTGGTTTTTTTTCGGCTGAGCCCTTAAGCCGCCAATATGAGCCGCCGTGTGGATTTTAAGGCTCAGCCATTTTATTAATTTCCAAATTGGGAAATGTTATTCGGATAATAGTGCGATTCGAACTCACGTTCACTTGCAGATTTGGCCAATCATCATTGAACACGATATTTAATATCGATTTTTTCACGACATTTTCTGTGGGTTTTTGACGAGTAGCAATGGAAGACGAGGGTGGTAGTAGCGTCCAAGAACCCAAACAATACAGGTTTCTTGTGTACGAAGGAGAAACGAGTTCATGACAAGCCCCGGAAATAGTCGATAATGCTAGTGAGACTGGAATTGAAATGGTCCAAAATGCACTGGATGAAGTAACGTTTGAAGAAACTGGAATTGAAATGGTCCAAAATGCACTGGATGAAGTAACGTTTGAAGAAACTAATGACTCTCCTCTCACCAACTCTATTCAAATACCAGCTGATACTTTTTCCTCTTTCTCAACACCCTCTTTGAGCCATGCTTCTTCAGATATAAGTAATATAGAACTTCCATCAGACAAGATCTTAGGAAAACGAAAAGCAATAACAAGCACAACTTTACCACAAGTTTCCCATATACAACAAACACAAAAGAAGCGAAAACAAGGTAGCAGTTGGTGTTGGCAGTTTTTTAAGAAAAATAATAAACTTGGAAAGTTTTTATGCTCCATTCAGATAGAAAAGCATGGTATAATGCAGATATGTAGAAAAGCATATTCACTTTCAACGGCAATAGATAATCTTAGAAGTCATCTTTGCTCTGAACATAGACTTTGGGAAGACATGAATACTTCATCAGTATCTCTTCCAGTTATAACTGATAAATCACAACCTACCCTTCAACAAATATATATCCAAAAACTTCCCTTGTCACGTACAAAAAAAGATAGAATAACTTACCGATTTATTACATGGCTAGTAGATGATCTTAAACCATTTAACGTACTTGTTAATACCAAATTTTGAGAACTTATAAATGAAATTGATGAACGTATTGAGATTCCCTGTATTAATACCATCAAAAATACTATGGTTCAATTAGTAAATACTACAGAAGCTCAGCTTAAAACTCTTTTGAATTCAACAATGATTTCCTTTTGGTTTACAACAGATCTTTGGACTCAAGTAAGTTAATTTATTTTATTTTAATAAATTATATTAAGATTGTATT